AACACACACACACACACATATATATATATATATATATATATATATATATATACGTACACATACAATAAGAGGTTTCACAGAGGAAGGTTTCTAGAACTCGTACTTGAAAGTGAGAGTAATATTACGTGGCCCGGCATGGCCAGGTAGTTAGGACGCTCGACTCGCAATCTGTGGGTCGCGGGTTCGAATCCCCGTCACACCAAACATGCTAACCCTTTCAGCCGTGGGGGCGTTATAATGTGACGGTCAATCCCACTATTCGTTGGTAAAAAAGTAGCCCAAGAGTTGGCGGTGGGTGGTGATGACTGGCTGCCTTGCCTCTAGTCTTAAACTGCTAAATTAGGGACGGCTAGCGCAGATAGCCCTCGTGTAGCTTTGCGTGAAATTCGTAACAAACCAAACAATAATATTATGTTACTTATTTTTGCTGTATGTGATCATTACATAATAGCTTACGTGACGGAAGTTTTTGATCGATTTATAAGAAACTAAAATGAAATTATTCAAATGTTGTTGTTGTTATTTTTCAGAACAATGCTAATTAATTGTTTAGAAGATAATTCTTCTAGGTGTACCCAATCAGAAACAAGTCTACACAAACAAACCATAGTAATACTAAATGAATGGAATGAGGTCATATTTAGGACAACTGGAAATCACTTTGTTTTATAATATTGTAACGTATGCTAGTCAATATTTGACTAAATCGTCGTTTTCCACAAAAACTATTTGCTGATGATCAATAACAACATCTACGAAATTTCTTCGTTAAAACCCAATCAAAGTTTATTATGCATTATTGATATGCTTTGTTTGTAGTGCGATAATAGCCACACATATTTATAGACCAGTTTTTTTTTTGTAGTTAATCAGAAAGTTACACAATGAGCTATTGCTGTGCCCACCATAGCTACAGAAAACCCATTTTTAGCACTATAAGCCCCCAGACTTACCGTTGAATCATTGCTTACAAAGGGCTGGTTTTGAGGTGTTCAAAGACATTCCAACACTGAAATTTATTTTTATTATTATATGTTTTGCATATTCTAGATAAAGCTAGAATGAAAGGAGAAAGTACCAGATAATCCGTTCCATACTATACAACAATCGTCTTTCATTTTACGGGAGCCGGCATGGCCACCTGGCTATTTCGGCCCCCGTAAAATTTCTGTTAAATAACAGTTTTATTATAAATAATAGACTAAAATATACACCGTGAAGATAGCATTATTTATTACATGCCAAGTGCGTGTCAGGATTGATATCATAATGACTAAAATATTATCCCTTCATTAATCTACATTCCCACAATGGAAATAATCAAGTATTAAAAAGAAACTTGGTACTAGAATAGGACATTGAATTCCTTAATAATTTCTATCTCGATCAACTGAAAGTTTGTGAAACTTCTGTAAAGAGAAGATTCAATCTGTCCATGTAGCCGTCAGTATTATTACTTTTATTATTATTATTATTATTATTGATATTTTCTCTATAATCAAATGTTAATTTTCTTCAGTATAGAGTTTCCTAATTGAAAAAATATATTATCTTATTTTGCATTCTACTGATTATACTATTCATCTGCGTTGTCTCTGAAGATTACTCCTTAATTATTTTGCACACTAGGTGTGAAGTGGATCTTAGAGATGGTCGTGAATTGGTGCAGGGAGCAAGCTATGTATACATTATTACAATGTCTATAACATTCTACAAAAAGAAAAGAAGAACGCTGGAAACCTAAGATGGGGAGTAAAACAAAGGGGAAAAAATGCAGAGTAGGAATGATGAATGATGTTCGAAAAGGAGGTCATAAAAAAGAAAGAAAATATTACAGAATAGGAAATTCGCCCCGGGCCCTAAGACCTCCGGGTAGCCTTGCTTAACGTCCTGAAAAATTGTCCAATAACTTAATTCTCTAAGTAGAATTGTGAAAAACCATTGTTTGGAACTTCGTTGTTACATTAAGCAAGCATTCAAAGGACCAAAGGACTCCTTGCTGTCAGTATGTTATACTTAATCTATAAAATATGAACAACATTGAAGTTAGTATTATTCTAAGAAAACTTCATCTGCATTAACATTGAATCTAAAAACAAAGAACAACTAAAAATATCTAAAAAAAAAAAAAGAGTAATTTGATACGACAGCCTAAATAAGATTTTTTCCCCAATTATTTTAGCATTCTTACGTTGTCGTATTAGTATATTTCTGTTACTTAGTATGGACAGTAACAATATATATAAAACTCGCGTTCTTTCAAAGGCAATGTTTTTGTTGTTTAGTACATTTTGACGTTTATCCCAAAATTAAACGATGTTATTCCGCTTATGCAAATAGGACCATATACGAGCTATGCAGTCTTGAATCGAAACACATGCATAATTATGTAACAGATCTTTCAAACTGAGCTCTTCAATTTTGAATTAACATTACATTCAAAGTTGATTTAGGTTTAATTTTGGATGTACAGATTCTTCTGAAACGTGTATTAGCCACATAGGAGATTTTTGATTGGATTCCGTTGTTTTGGTAAAATAACCCATTTTATAAGGTAACTGACATCTACACAAAAATTCACCCACAAACGTAGCATGCTGTGGTTAGTTTAGAACGGAACAAAAGTTACTTTTAATTATTGTTAGGCCTAAAAGTGTGGGAGTATTTAAACTGACATATTTATACCTGGTGTTGAGCTGTCAAACTAATAAACCGAAACTTTAAAATGTTTCAACTGGTAACTATACAAGTCTACAATGAATATAGTTTTCTATTCATACTTGTTAACCAATTTACCTAGTAAAATTATTTAACATTCATTATTATATATTCGATATTTCCGGGTTTTATCTGGTTTACTGTGGGTTTCCAGTGAATAAGAAGATGTAATGTTACCTGACTGTCTTCAATGGTGGCTGGTAAAGCCCCTACATTATGAAGATTGATCAGATCTTGTTCGCTTAGACCGTGGTGACCTCCGAGCATGGCAACTTCTGGACGCCGGACATTGGAGTAGGCAGAATCTCCTCGGCGTGCTAGATCGTAGGACGCAGCGAGTCCCGAGTGGACGTTGGTCTGTAGGTGGAGAAGATCGTCCTCCCTTCGAGTCCCGAAAACATTGTGCGTCCGTTGTGGAGTGTGAAGTTGATGATACTGTTGGGGGTGTTGAGCGACTGCAAGACTATTTAAGTGGGTGTAAGGATCAGCGTTGACGTGTGGGTGATGGAAGTCCAAGTGTTGTTGTGGCAGATTATAAGGGGGCGGAAAGTAAGGTGGTTGGAAGTCGGCTGAAGTCGGGGTGTGGGTGAGGCGAGGAGTACTACTGAAGGTGGCTGTGGACCCCACACTGCCGATATTAGAGATTGGGACTAGGCTGTTGGCGTGGCTTCCCACCAGCTCTCGACGATCCTGCAACATAAAAACAACAATAAAAGGATCATCAATGAATGAAACTGATTATTAAGAATAGAGCACCGGTATTGGGGTCTTGTGTAAACAAAAAAGTAACAAACTAACTGAAGAAGACCACCATAAAACAAGAGGCCTAAGTGTGGAATTATCTTCATTTCAACTATCCTTTGCAATACAAGTAAATCTGCAATAGAACAAAGAAAGCGGCAAAACTAACTTAAAATGTTTTATAAAACGATTCTTTTAAGTTCCGAAACAAACTTTGCTAAATCAAAAAGAAAATCAAATAAACGTTGTGTGAGGATTTTTCGTCACTAATGTTACGTATAAACTATTTTATATTGTTGGGATCTAGAAATGCTATACTAAATAACAATGGGCGTCTCTCAATTGTGTGATTATCTTTCGTCATTAATGTGCCCAAACTATTTTTTTATTGTTGGGATCTAGAATTGTTGTACTACATAAGAAGGGGCGTTTCTCAATTGTGTGATGATCTTTCGTCATTAATGTTATACATAAACTATTTTCTATTGTTGGGATCTAGAAATGCTGTACTAAATAACAATGGGCGTCTCTTAGTTGCGTGATGATCTTTCGTCTCTGATGTTATATGTAAACTATTTTCTATTGTTGGGATCTAGAAGTATTGTTCTGAGTAATAAGTGGCGTCTAACATCAAATTTCTGATCACCTTTCCTGAACATATAAAAATAAAACAAGAAACCTATTGACAAGTTGCCTAAGAGTTATCGGTATAGAGTGTTTAGGCATACTGGAGGTCTTTTGTTACTTTACATGATGTCACGATATAAAGTTAAAATCAAGGTCAGTTAAATGCTATCTCCGATACTATCAATTTAAGACAGCAGTGATTCCATGTAATTTAGTCATTCAACTAAAACTTCTGAGCTTTCCGCGTTTGAATGTTTAATTAACACATATTCTCTTAATGATTCTATTCTTATTGGCAATTCTTTCCTGGCATTATAATTTTATCGGTTTCAGGTTTCATATGAAGATTCTGTCCGTTCTGAGTTATCCTAATGATGTCAAAGTGCCATAGCTCCACGGGTAAATCGAACGAAATGTTTTTGATACGGAATCCATTTTTTAACACCAAGAAAATCTGATGCAGACTACAATAACGGAAACTGATACTGTGAGATTGGTCTTTGGTTCCGTCTTCAAAATCTACCTCTAGAAACTAACTTCTAACTTAATATTATTATTTTTTTATTTAACATAATTAACGGTTAGTTACGATATTAGCTACCATTTTTTGTATTACTGATATTTTTTGCCGTTTGGTAGAAATCTGGTTCGTTTCTATTTGACATCTATATAGTTTTCAGTTTCTTCATTATTTTTCTGCAAAGACAAACCTTTTTTTTCAGGTAAAGATGGTACGTTTGATAAATTATGATAGTAAAATCTTTCTAACTGTATAAATTCATAATACCATCAAAACAGTAAAGTTATTGAAAATCACACGTCAATGATAAATCTTAGACAAATGTTTGAACTGTAGTTCATTTACTCTCGGTCTCTATTTTAAGATCAAAAAATTATAATGTAAAAATTTGGAAATATTTTCCAGGTTTCAACATTATTTCCTTTTGAACACACATCGAATTTTTACTGCGTATGCACACATGTGAGCGGAAAGGTCGAAATAGGGTAAATAACCTATGGCACTATAGGAAAAAATATATAAATCAGTTGATGAAGATCAATTTTCCATGCATACGTTCGAAATGATTTTACAAGCCTGAATAACTTCTTAATATAACAATTATAACCAAAATTGAGGGCATCTATTAGAAAAATAAAGAACTAAACCCGAAGAAGCCACGTATCCTAAAACCTATAGTTAAAATAGAAAGTTTAAAAATAAGCACCACAAAAACTACACAAAATTACAATTTTTATTAAAAGTCATTGTATGGTGTATTCTTTGATAGATTGTTTAGGCAGAGTATTCATGATGAAACTTTGTAGAATGGACGGCAACTGCCTGTTGTAGAAACACAAGTGTAGAGGATGACGTTTCGAAAGTCTTCCGCCTTTCGTCTTCAGATCAGTGTGTGTAAGGCGGAAGACTTTTGAAACGTCGTCCTCTACACTTGTGTGTCTACAACAGGCAGTTGCCGTCAATTTTACAAAGTTTTATCATTGTATTGCGTGTTTTCGCGCTTCTGTGAAGGATTCGTTTGTGGTTGTTAAAGGTTTGGTATCTGGTTTTGAACACATATGCCATTTCCAGCAAGTGAATGAGATTCTAATGTTAAATATAAGTCCATTTTATTGTAAACCAAAAAAAAAAAAATAATGTGGTATGGTTTTTTTTAGTTATTAAGTAGGGCGATATCACTGAAAATGTATCGCTCTTGGGAAGGGTATATAACAGTATTTTCCGATCAAAAATATCCTTACACTAAGATCAGAAACATGAGTTCATAACGGCGATTCAGAATATCAAACTAAACGATATTTGTGAAAAAAATATCCGAATGAAAATATATTTCAAATTAGTTCTAGCTATGGCAGTTACTTTATCAGAAATGTATGTCGATGGTGATGCTTTTTCAAAACTAGATTATAAAATCCCTTTTAACATAAGGGAATGTTCTCAAGCTCGGTAACCCTAATAAAAAATATATAAATTTCAGATATGGGCATAATATAAATATTTTCAGGGTGATGTCAAGCCTAATTTTTTTGCTCCCTTTATTTCCAAAAGTTCTGTAACATTGAACTGCGTTTATGATATGCAATTGCATACGTGTCTTTTATCATAGAGTGAGCAAATCTTGCGGTGACTCAGCGGTAAGCTTGAGGCCTTATTTAGCTAGAATTCAGGGTTCAATACCGTGACAGACACAGCGCAGATAGCCTATTGTGTAGGTTTCGCACTAAAACACTACCACAAAGTAACCAAAATACTTATGAACTTGTCCTACACTTCAATAATAATAATGATAGAAAGACGTAATTATTAAGATGTTAAGTTTGTGTGATTTTTGAAAATACTCTTTTTCAGATATGGTAGGTTTTCGGGGGTAGTGTTGAGAAAACTTACCACCGTAATCATAATCAAATTCAGTTTATCATGGTGGAATGTGTATATATATTTCAAATGAGAATGTAAACTGTGTTAGTTAAAAAAAAAATTATTACGAAAGTTAATGAATATTTTTTAATTAGTCCTCCATCCCGGTGGCTCAGGGATAATTCGACAAACTTATAAAGTTAAAAATCGGGTTTCGATTCTCGCGGTGAGCATAGCCCAGATAACACTCGGCTAGCGTTTCGCTTAATGGTAGTCAAACATTTTCCCAATTGTTAAACGTAGTACAAGCTCAGGTAGAGGATTATTTGTCGCCTGGATGGACGCCAAATAATTTCAGCATACATCATTTATATCGATGCAGCCACGTGAGACATCAAATTTAAATATGATATTATAAATTTTTGGCCTGTAGCTAGAAAAGGCAAGAAATAAAATATTTTATTGGAATTATTTATTGTTAAAAGGGGGCGCACTTTATAGTGTAAGGGTGCAAAATTATGAAAAGTGGGGGCGGTGTTAATCGTTTAATTCTTACATCAACATCTA